GTGTGTCCCACCGGGGCCTTGGCTAGTTGGTGCCCCCACCCGTGAGTCTCCTAGGTGAGGCTGCTCACTGGGAGACCCTCAACTGGGAGATGGGGGTGGGCAGAGCAGCTCACGCAGCAGTGCTGAGGTGCCCTGGTGATGCCAGCCTCCCTAGGGTAGGAACCTGACCTGGTGCTGGCCTTGGCCCAGGGTGTGCACCAATCCCTGGCACGCCTGTACTTCTTCCTGTCCTGCCTCCGGAATGTTCCAGAAGGTGGCTGAATGGCGGGCACCTCCTCCCCTGCAGGGCCCTTTTGACAGTCCTTGTGCTAGGCAAACAGTGAGACCACCCCACCTCAGGGGTCAGTGGAGCATCCCTCCCCCGCACTTCCTGCAGGAAGCTACGCCCATAGTCCTGGCAGTTTGGGGCTGCCCACCTGACCTGACCTGACCCTCTGGGCTTGGGCAATCTTGGCCCGAGGTGGCGGGCGGAGCATGGGCGTCTGTCCACAGAGCAGACAGGCTTCAGCGGCAGCTGGGAGTGGTGTAGGGGTGGGGGTGGTACCCATCCCTGGGGCCGTTCTGAACGCAGGGGCCACCTGACAGTTGGGAGCAAGAGGGGCGCTGGCCCTGCCCTCCCAACAGACCAGGCCTGGTCGACAGCATGGACAGACAGCACATGGGAGGTCGGGCCCATGTGAGAATGTCCGCTGCTGTCCTGCAGCAGGTCCAGGCACCTCCCCCTAGCCTGTCCGCACCCCGGAACGAGTCAGCGCCCAGCTGCCCCTGTGGGCTGTTTGTGAGGCTGTGGCTCCTGTGGGAACAGACGGCCGCCTGTCTCCTGGGAGCAGACGTTGGGCTAGAACTGCTGGTCTGGAGGGGAGCTGCCCCAGCGGGCCCATTGCCCAGGGGATGTGGAGCATCTGACAGCCCAGGCCCATCCCTGTGGGTTTTAAGATTGTGGGGAAATGGATACGCGTATACGAGGGGATATGGGAAGTCGTGGGCACGTGATGGATGATCACGGGGTTCCTGGGGCCGTTTGCTGAGCCCCCACCCCCTGCGGGGAACCTTTGCTGGTTCAACAATCTCTACTTCTCCCTTGTGTGCTGA